ATATTAAAACTGATTAAATATCAGTGAAGCATATTTCACCCTGGAGATAAAAAAAGGACAAAGGATGCAGGACGGAGGACGAGCTGGTGTTGTTGACTGTAACTAACGAGTCAGTCCAATCAAGGACGAAACACAAACCTAACGATTTCTGAGGTGACGTCTCGTAGGAACTCACAGAAACTCACATGATCGTGACTTCAGAATAAAAACAAACACGGAGGCGGAGCCTGTTGTTGCAGTTTGTTCTTCTCTTCTGTCGACATATTTAAAAATAATGATATTGATGATATAGAATGTTTGTGTCCATCATCGCCGTCAGATTCGACAACAGAAAGGATGAAGTGAATTAACAGAGATGACAAAGTAAAGAAGAGCAGATTATTTGGAGAGGATGAGCAGCAGAGAGAGGAGGAGGAGAAGCTTCTCTTCCTCCTCATCCCTCTCTCTTTGTCTGTTTGTGTCAGCCTCTCTGTCTTATCTGTCCCGTGCAGACCTTTGCTCCTCCTCTGCTGCCAGACTGTCAATAAAGTGTCGCACACTGTGATGTGTCTCAGGTGGACTCTTTCAATGTCCTCTGATCCGCCCTCTGCAGAGACACAACACTTCTCTTGTTGTGTCCAGTGTCCTGACACACATTTGTTTTCTCTCATGTTTTCCTCTTTGTGAAACAGGATTTCTGCGTGGTCCCATGTGGGAATAGGTTTCATCTCATTGATAGTTTGGTGTGTGGGGTTTTTTCTCTCAGTTAGCTCCTCCTCCTCCTTCAGGAGCCCCACATGAATACTCACAGGAAACTGTGGCATATACGCTCTGTTGCCACGGTTACCATGCAGGGTTTTCACCTCCGCTGCCTCTGGAGCTGCTTCTTCATTATTTTACAGCTAAAAAAAAGCTTCATGCTTCATTTGTCCAAATTGTTTCTGGTTTTCTCCTCCATCTTCATTCTTCACCAGGAAGTGACATCATCAGCTGATTCACACATCTACTTTAATAACTGATTCTTCTTTTTCACAATTAATCAACGAGTGGTTTGTTTTTAAAATGTCAGCAGGAAACTGGTGGAGAACTTAAACTTAACTTAACTTTAACTTAAACACTGAAACTGTTTAATACATATTCAAATGCTGAAGAGTTTATGGTTAAATGCTAACGGAGCACAAACATGTTCTGTGTGTAACATGTGAATCAAAGCGTGTTCAGCAGCGCCAGTAAGCGACTCTGTTAATTATAAAAGCTTCTTTCCGCGGAGTCGTCTCGGTCATTAACTCAGTGACTGTGGACCCTGATTAAATTGATTCATTAAAAGAAAAAGGAAATAAGCAGTGAAAGGCGGCAGATTAAAAAACAGCTCAAGTGACGGGAACCAAATGAGAAACAGAAGGAAAAACCCACTGAACCAACAGCGTCACCATGGCAACAGCATCATCTCCCTTCAACTCGTTTGGACTCGATCATCTGATGAAATGTAATAATAACACGAAGGTCAAGAAACAAACGTTTTCTTATGAAACCAAGTTACATTTCTGAAATGTCACAGTGAACAACCTTTGTCTTCTCTTCAGTTTTCATTGGACAATTAAATCCACCTGTGAATGTGTATTTTTCATAGACTGCAAATAAAGACGAAATAAAGATTATTAGAAAACGAATTCCTCCAGAAATGAAGCTGAAATAACTTGGATACGAACGTGTTCTCTGGAGTCTGAGCAGTATCGATAGGTTGAGTAGCAGTTTCAGGTCAAAGTGCTGGTTGCTATTCATTTCATACTGTTTGATTTGACCTTGGTTTTACTGTTATGTGTTATCGATCTGTGGTTTTATCTTCGTGGCCCTGATGAAAGTGTTTTTCTGTTGGAGGATAGAAGTGTGTGATTTGTTTTTAGTTGTTCACTGTTCCTGCTCATCAGCACCAGCAAGCAGAGCGTTCAGCCTGGTTTTCTGCTGATGTCGTGCTGTTGGCTTCATCCGGCCGTGACCTCCAGTGAGCACTGGGGCAGTTTGAGAGTCAGCAAACAGTGGATTGATCCTTCGTGGTTTAGGGAGTTTCTTCCCCAAGTGAAGGGTTTAACTTTAAGATGCAGCGTGAGATGCAGGAGGTTCATGTGGGCGTTGTGCCAGAGCTGAGCTGTAAGACCTGTAGATCTAATGCTCTGACCCTCAGCTGTGCTCACGAGCTCTGGGTAGAAGCTCTCGTATGAGATCACAAACACAAGTTTTCTCCATCGGGTGTCTGGGCTCAGCCTCAGAGACAGCGTGAGGAGTTCATCTGCAGCAGCTCAGGGAACAACTGCAGCTCCTTCCTGCTGACAGGGGCCAGTTGAGGAGGTTCGAGCTCACATCCAACAGGGAAGAACCAGGAAGAGCTGGAGGGACTACATATCCCATCAGGCCTGGGAACGACTCAAGATTACCCAGGGAGAGCTGAGCAGTGTGGCTGGAGACGTCTGAGGTACCTTCTGCCAGCTGAGCTCAGATTAACACACACAATAGATGATGATGATAAAACTTGGCTTCATGCAGGATTTATATTCATTTATATTAAAGCCTGTTCAATTCAACAAACCAGCACCAAGAAGAGAGTTTAAATTTCAGACTTCTTAACCCTCTGATCATTCTGAAAGGAAGAGATAAAACACACACACACACGCACACACACTCACGTCTTTGTGAACCGAGGATTAAAACTGATTTAAAGCTGAGAGCAAAGTGTCCTCAGTTGTGTTTTATCAGCGATACTTCACAGCAGCTCTTTGATTCCAACTTTATTTAAGTCTTGAATGCTGGCGTCGTTCGTGACCTGCTGTGACTCAGGATTATTCAAAAGGAAATAATGAAAAGGTTGTGTACGTTGTCTGGGAGGCAGCGCCGAGTGTTTTCCCACCACAGGTGAGCAATGGACTTTCTTTGTTCTCTCATTTCAGTGTTGAATAAATCTGAATAAAACACACTTCTCATCTGCCTTCAAAGAAAAGTTACAGTTGTGGGTGAAAAAAACCCCATTTGAATAATTGTATTCCTCTTCAGTCGCATTCCTGAGACACAACGCAAACTCCTGTCAGAGACACAGTGAGACTGCAGAAAGACAAACAATCCTCCATGTGTCTCTGAAACAAATGGTTCCTTCTCTGTTCGTATATCGTCGGAGAGGAAAGAATCTGTGTTTACAGACGCTTTGTTAACTGACTGAGCAGAACGACTCCAGATACATCACACCTCACAACTTAAATCCATCAGATAATGGCGGCAGCAGCTCGATCAGGAACGTTTCCACCTCCTCCTGCTGAGGAGTCGGTTCCAGGCCTGATGGGATATGAAGTCCCTCCAGAGAGTTTTGAGTCCAGACCACCTCAGATGGAAGGAGAATCCAGATCAGACCTTCTGCAGCACCTCCGACCTCCTCATCCCACGTATGCGATGTGGTTCTTTGGTCACTACCCAGAGCTCATGCTCGACTGGGACCGAAAACTTTGCCTCTTCACTGTCGGACAGTTGCTTCTGATGAAGAGAATTTAATGAAGCTGCGTTCAACACAAAGTCTCACATGACACACATAAGACTACAACTCCCATCATCCTTCACTGCGGCACCACACTGTCTTTGGTTATAACAGAGATGCCCCCTGGTGGTAAAGAGTTACACTCTGCAGTCATGACTCTGACCATCTGTCAACCTGGAGTTGAACATGTTCAGTTAGTTTCTATGAAGTGAGACATTTATAAATAAATACAATATGTAAAATGTATATCATCTAAAGCTGAGGCCACAGTAGAACACAGACTCTTCATTCACTCTCCTGCTGATCCTGGACCTGCTGCCGCTCACGAGCTGCTGGTGTCGAACCGTCGCCGTCACATGACCCATCGCTGCTCCTCTCTCCATCTGACTCATCGAGCCGCTGTGAGCGATCGCTCTCTCAGAGATCAAGGTCAAATTTCATTACTCCTAATGAGGCCCGGCAGCCATCAGCATCGGTGTCTCCGGCACATGAAAGACGAGCGGCTGCAGATTTCTGAGACATTACAGATAAGTAGCTGCAGCAGAAGAGAGAAACCATCTTCTCCTTCACTGCCGCTGGCTCACATTCACCTTTCACTGTCCACCTCATTCCTCTGGAGACTTTCACCACTTAGACTTGAAGACTTGAAATATTTGTCATTTCAAAATCTGAACCCTGAGACAGAATAAGGAGACAGTTTCTGCAGAAAGGTCACAGAGATATTATCTTAAAAAAGACGTCAACGCTTTTAAAGGTATTGAAAAATGGGACTGATGTTTTAACTATAAAATGTTTTTTTAAACATGAGATCTCAGTGTGTGTAAATATTTAAATGCTGAATTAAGACTCACACTAATGACGGTGTGAGATATTCACATGAACCAGCTTCATGTATGAAACCTGTTCAGATGCATCCCTGGAGTTTTTGTTTTGTCTTCCTCTTTGTCTTTGAGCTGTGGTGCATCTTTCACCTGCTGCCGACTCATATTCTCAGTTTTAACATTTAGAGACTCTGTCACATCCTGTCTCTGTCTTCTCATCTGTTCTGTCATCCCTCTCTTCTCTGAGCGAAGTTCAGGGATAACTTGTTTGTTTACCTACACTAAAGTCCGACATGTGGATTGAAGACAGACACGGTCCCACTATGACGCCAGCTGTCTGTCTCAGTATTTACATCCCTCAGTCAATACCTCACAATCATATTCGTTCATGTTCAAGTGAGGAAGATGTTGAGCTGTGCAGGAAATATGAAGATCCTGTCTGTCAGGAGAAAAAACTTCTCTCTGAGGTTTCTTCAGTATCACAGTGATCACAGTCAGTCCAGCTGCTTTTACTTTGAAAGAACAGGAGCTGATCACAGTCAGTCCAGCTGCTTTTATTTTGAAAGAACAGGAGCTGATCACAGTCAGTCCAGCTGCTTTTCGGTCAATCAAATGTTAGAAATACTGAACAATCATTTAAATTTCTGATTCCTCCAGAAAGAAAAACACACTTAACTTCTCACCTGCTGCCGTTTATTTCACGTTAACTTTACGTTTGATGTCTTTAAACTGTTACACAACATTTTTGCGGGTTACCCATCGTGCTACCACGGTTACATGACATGGTGCAGGCCGTGTATTTGTAAAAAATGAGTTTTCTCAAAATATATGAAACACAAACAAAACCACAACACAAGTGAACATGTGATGTCACCACATGTGACGTGAATGAACATGTGGTTGACATGCTCAGAGAATCATGTGACTTCAGTTTCCCTCATTATTAAAGTATCTGGTGTCATCACAACAACAGACGTGTGGACACGTCCTCTCAGGTTCAACCAGCTGGGGTCACGTACCGTCCGGAATGAGACGGGATAATGTACGAGGCGTTTACTACGAGAAAAATAAAAATACAACTGATGATTGGAATTAACCAGAAGCACAGATACTGAATGAAAGGAGGTCTGGATGGGATGAGCAGGAGGAGGAGGAGCAAGAGGAGCAGGAGGAAACATTGTTTTAACCAAACAACAAAACCAAAGTTCTCCTCAGTGACAAGATGAGATGAGATAAAATCAGACCAGACTAAATAGTGATAGGCACTGAAAGAGGAAGCATGAGAATGTTGGCGTGTGTGTGTGTGTGTGTGTTTGTGTGTGAGAGTGTGAGATATTTTGTGACATATAAAAGTCATTGGAACTTGTTGTTTTCGTTTCCATGTGCTGGTTTTTTCCCATGATACTGTTTAAATTGGTAATTAAGCCCAGTGGGAGGGGCTGAATGTATAAAAGGGCAGCTTCAAGCCCTTGTCAAGGTTAGGGTCCGAGTACGAGTACGAGTACGAGTCCGAGTCTGAGTCCGCTTACAGAGGAGGTTTTTCTGTTTTGATTTAAAATGATCTGTTTTTATATTTTTGTAAATATTTCCGTGCACCTTGGGAAGCCTTCTGTAAACACAATGAAAACAACACAATCTTCTGTAAACACAATGAAAACAACACAATCTTCTGTAAACACAATGAAAACAACACAATTTTCCGACTACACCTGTGTTTTCATATCTTTTTAAGGAGTTTTTAAGAGAACCTGCACAAAGACCAGATCAAACCAGATCAGATCAAACCAGATCAGATCAAACCTGATCAGATCAAACCAGACCAGATCAGATCAAACCTGATCAGATCAAACCAGACCAGATCAGATCAAACCTGATCAGATCAAACCAGATCAAACATGATCAGATCAGATCAGACCTGATCAGATCAGACCTGATCAGATCAAACCTGATCAGATCAAACCAGACCAGATCAGATCAAACCAGATCAAACCTGATCAGATCAGATCAAACCTGATCAGATCAAACCTGATCAGATCAAACCAGACCAGATCAGATCAAACCAGACCAGATCAGATCAAACCTGATCAGATCAAACCAGATCAAACATGATCAGATCAGATCAGACCTGATCAGATCAGACCTGATCAGATCAGACCAGATCAAACCAGATCAGATCAAACCAGATCAAACCAGATCAGATCAAACCTGATCAGATCAAACCTGATCAGATCAAACCTGATCAGATCAAACCTGATCAGATCAAACCAGACCAGATCAGATCAAACCAGATCAAACCAGATCAAACCAGACCAGATCAGATCAGATCAAACCTGATCAGATCAAACCAGATCAAACCAGATCAAACCAGACCAGACCAGATCAAACCAGATCAGATCAAACCAGACCAGATGAGACCAGACTTTGGACATTAAATGAAGATGACGAGACAGAAAAGCATCAGGATGATGAAGCAGCAGCTTCAGTCCGTGTGTGAAGATGAAACCTCATCATGACAAAGAACCATTTTCTAGATGAAGCTTTAATCTCATATCATCACATGAACACTTTGATCCTGCTGCAGCTTTGAAGAGATAATCCAACGTTTCTCTGTTCCTGTGTTTGACAACACAAAACTCTACACAGTGCACAAGCTTCAGTGCACGTGAGGAGCTCTCACCGAGGCTAATGCTAAGCTAACAGTGGCCTGTGTGTGTGTGAGGGAGAGAGCGAGAGAGAGAGAGAGAGAGAGAGAGAGCGAGCAGCCTGACGACTCTCCTCCGTCCAGGTAAGTTGGTTTCATCTGAGGCTCAGATCTTTAATAAATGTAGAAACCATCAGACGTGACCACCTCAGATGCCTCCTCACTGTGAACATGAGTGTGTGAGTGCGATAGCAGCAGGTCAGGGAGCCACGGCGTGTTTCAGAGGATTTATTAAACCAGCAGGATGTGCCCTCATCAGGTGAGATCTGTAGCTTGAACAACATCACACAGAGTTTCTGTTGGTTTGACTCACGTTGATCTGCAGCGACTCCGTCCACTGTCCGATGACTCTGTAGCCCCGCCCCGTCACGTTGCTCCACTGGTACTGGAACAGGTCATAGCGCCCGGGAGCATCACCGTTACGATTAAAGGTCACTGCCGTACCAGCACTTCCTGTGAACGACAAACAGTGAAGAGGCTAAATTCATTCTGCAACACACACACACACACCATCCATGTGCAACACTTCCTCTATGAGAAGGGGACTGTGGGGTTCAGTGACAAAGACACTTCAGCATGAGGACAAGGGAAGACTGGGATCGAACCGCCGACCTTCTGGTTCTGACCCCTGAGCCCCAAAACAACAGTTTCAGTTGTTACATCGGTTTCTAGGTTTGTCCATCAGGAGGCTCAGGTGTCATGTGTGACAGCAGGAAGTGTTTTGGATGAGCAGCAGTGTGAAGTGTGTTATCGACAATGACGGAGGAACAGCAGCAGACCTCAGATCTGTCTTCACCCATTGAAAGGACTGTTTCTGCAGAACTTAACATCCAGTATGAACCAGCTGACACAGTGCGATGGTGCAGCTCACGTGTCCTCCTTGTGCTTTGTCCTCGAGTCCTCCAAGCTTCTGTCCAAAATACTCCGCACACAGTGCATGATGATGGTGTGATCGCTGTCCTCGTCCTTTCTGAATGATTTCCTCCTTCCAGCAGACCCCCCCCACAGGTCCAGACTTCTTCAGCTCAGCCTCTGATGAGGGGGAGGAGGCAGAGAGGAAAGTGTTCCTGTGCAGTGTTCATTCAGCTGCAGACTCACGATCACCAGGCAGCAGTGTGTGTGTGTGTGTGTGTGTGTGTGTGTGTGTGTGAATCTGAATGTCTGGAAAACGTCCTCTGTCCTTAACAACAGGAATCAAACTACCAGAGAAATGTTATGTGTGTCACACGTGAGGGTCATCTCCCAGGACACAAGGACAATATATGAACATTGATGCTAAATAAACTGTTGGGATTATTTTAATATTACACAACTCACAGTTTCATCATCATCAACAAACAAAAAGATTAATGACAACACGTAAAACCAAAGTTCTCCACTGACAGAAGGATTCAGCTGCGTCAGACTCTGATTGGTCGACTGTGACGTTGCATCACAGATCATTGATCATGTTCACAATTAACTGAACGGCAACGTCATGCTACGTGTGTGTGTGTGTGTGTGGGGGGGGGGGTATCTAGTTGTGACTTCTCTGACTGTTTGTACTGACGGAGCAGCTGACAGACTTTATGAACAAACACTCATTCTGGGTAAAAAATAAACATAATCAGTTTTCACGTTGTGTCTTTAACAGATTTCGATTAAAAAAAACACTGACGTCCTGTAAATGTCACACACAAAGATTTGAAAGAGCTCCGAGCCGATGACAGTCGCTCTTCTCTCTGTTTGGAGTCAAGCGGCGACTCCCTGCGATCAATACCGAGTTAATAGCAGCCAGAGGCAACAGCAGCCTCTTCATATCAAATGGATTCAGTTTCTCAGTCAATCTTTGTTTCAGGAGAGAAACTGGAGAAAAAATCTTCTGTCTCTGGAAGAAACCGGGATCTGTTTTATTTTTATGGAAATAGATTTTTAATCAAATATGACGTTTAAACCATGAGTCAGCAGATCATTGCATGTTTCAGCACATTTCAGGTTTTCAGATGATAAAGAAAATCTTCTGTCTGCTGCTTTAAAACCATGAAACTATGTCGACAATGGAGGTAGAACTGCTAACGTCTCATTATGATGCTATAAATCACCACAATAATTCATGTGTTAAACATGATGCACGTTTCATATTCAAGAAGCAGAAGTTTCACCTTCACCTGCAGAGAAGAAACTTTTAATGAGCTTTTAGAGGACGTCAGCGTTCTGCAGCTTCAAGAACATCACATGAAAAACATCAGAACTCTTTCAACCAGCGGCTCTGAGGACGAACGCTCGACATCCAGTTCATCAACATGAAGTTAGAGAAGAAAGAAAACACAGCGACGTCAGCTCAGATCCACCAATCGGTTTGTGAGCGATGTTTTGGCGCCCGACATTTTGTCGATGTCAGTGGATCCTAATTTACTAAATGAACATCAGACGTATTGAAGAAGAAACTAGAGCCTGAGACCATCGTCACGTCGCCTCGTCCAATCAGATTTGTAGCAGGTTTAAATATCTACATGAACCAGTGACGCTTCCAGCCAATCAGAACGCAGGGTTGGGTGAAGGTGGTTTGAAGAGACGGAAACAACAGCAACGCTACAGCTGTCAGATCACAAGCTCCACTTTTATTTGATTTGATGATTTGCATTTAAAATGTTTACCATCTCACGGGATCGTTTTCATTTGCTGCTATGTTTAAAGTCTATACTTAAATCATCACATGTTTTTATCACATGACGAACATCACACTGGAGTCACACACAGACGACAAAGCTTCAGAGGAGAAGGTGAAGAGATGTTATTACAGTGATCAGCTGCTGCTCACGTTATTAAATCAGATGCTGAGACGATATTTCAATAAAGTCACTTTCATCAGTGAGTTCATTACTAATTGAATCAAGAGATCAGATACTGCTCATTGATTCACTTTTAAATAACCAGGAGTTTAATCTCACTGCTTTGATTTGATTCACTTTTTATCTCCTGGTTTTTATTGTTTCTGTTTTTATGGATCAACAACAAACTGCTGTGTGAGGAACATGACAGGCACATGTATGTGAGGAACACATGAGGAACATGTTAAGAACATGTTCAGCTGCAGCTATGTGTTTTAGTTCCTCACAGACTCGTTGCTTCCAGAATCATTTTGACCTAAATTCAGTTGGTGTTTTATGTCCTCAGCTGCAGACTGAGGCTCCTCCATGTTCGGAACTAATTAATCATTAATGATCATTAACACATGAACATTCATCATGTTCGGTCATGTACAGTCCGTGTTTGAGAGCCGTGTCCAAACAGTTCACACCTGGAGACCACATGCATGAAGCATGATGAAGAACATGATGGACGGTGACACTGGTGTGATTTCATGATCTCTGGAACATTCTCTGACCTTCACAAACAGGCGTGTTGCGTGTTGTTGTATGATCAGATGTCACGTCGGACTCACCATTGAAGCTGACGCTGCGGATGTACCTGAGCAGCTTCTTGCCTCCAGCCAGGTCCATCTCCGGACAGATGCCGGAGTTTTCTGGACACAGGTCTCTCTGCATGTTGTGGAGGGCGTGGGCCACGGCGTACACGGCATCGATCACAAACTGCACCTTCCCTTCCTGCTCGTACTTGGAGTCCATGCCGATACGTTCCTGACCTGAGGAGACGGAGACAACGGGGACCCAGTGTTTCCACAGTGATGTGTTGTGCTTCTAATTCACTGTCTCAGCTTTTTCTCTTTTCGCAAATCTTTATATAAAATATAGATTTTTATACTGACTGCTCCAAACCGGTGGTTTATCTGCCGACTGCGTCGTTACTGGAGGATTCCAGCAGAGGGCAGACCGCAGAACTCAGACTTGAAAAAGACTGATCCTCGAAACGTCACTGGAGGAAATCAACATCTGGCTAATTTTATAAAGACGGAAACATTCTCGATCACTCATTCGTATGTTGTTACGTCTGAATCAGACACGACAACAGCAAGTTTACGCTCTTGGTTTCTCTTCATCTCACTTTCAGGTAACGATGAGTCATCAACGTTCACTGAGCTGAGTCATGATTCTGTGTCTTTATGAAATGTCTTCATCAATAATCATTCAGCAGTGAAATCATTAAATATAAAATAACACATAAAGTAGAATTACCATGGCAGAACCTTTCTCTTCAGGTAAAATCTAGAACGTTCTGTTTGTGTTCTTTGCTCGGAGCCAACTTCAACGTTCAGAAAAGAAAAAACATCTGTTAAATGTATTTGAATCAAATCAGACGACAATAAATCATCTGTTGAACATTGTTGTTCCACTGAACTTTATTTTCTTTATGTCCGTTAACAACAAAGTTTCTATGTTGATCACAATGTTATTTATGAGCTCAACTCATCACAGCGATTTCAACCACGAGGTGGAACTGTGACAGGAAGTGTCTTCACCACCGGTAGTCGAGTCATGTGACTGATAAGAACCAATCAGAAGAGAACGTGGGCGTCATCGTTTATTAAAGTCTCAGTTTGTGTTCAGACTAAAACACAAACCAGAGTTTCTAACAAGTGTAACCATAGCAACAGGGATGAGTTCAAACACGTGAGTGAGGGCGGAGCCTGGGAGGCCTCACGTCTCTTTGTTGTTTTCAGCCCATGAACGAGCTCCTGTGAGAAAGTTTGTTTTTCCGAGTCACTCTGACTTTCAGAATAAAGCTCCAGTGTGTGTCTGTCTGTGTGTGTGTGTGTGTTTGTGTGTCTGTCTGTGTGTGTGTGTGTGTGTGTGTGTCTGTCTGTGTGTGTGTGTGTGTGTGTGTTTGTCTTTCTCTGTGTTTGTCTGTGTGTGTCTGTGTGTGTCTGTCTCTGTCTGTGTGTGTCTGTCTGTGTGTGTCTGTGTGTGTCTGTCTGTGTGTGTCTGTGTGTGTCTGTGTGTGTCTGTGTGTGTATATCTGTTCAGTGTCAGGTTTTTGTTTTTCCTCCATCAGCATCTGTCACAGAGCGACACAGCTTTTCCCAGCATGCAGCAGGAGAGGTGCAGCAGGGTGGAGAGGTCCAACACACACATTCAGACTCACACATACATGTCTGACATGTCTCTGAGCAAACATACAGACTGAACACGTGTCCCTGCAGTTACAGACATTCATCGTGTGTGTGACGTCAGCATCTGGAGTTTTTATAAAGTTGAAGAATCAAAGATTTGTGGCTCCAGATGAACGTCAGCAGCTTTTCCTCTTTTCATTTCTCATGCTTTCATTTCATGTGTCCTGATCAAAGGGGTAAACTCACTGACCTGTGCACTTCCTGCTGCTCTCGTCCCTCTTGGACGAGCTCATCAGTTTGCAGTTGAAGTTTTCCTCCCAGTATTCAGCGAACCACACGTTCCTCCTGTTGTTCTCCAGCGTCCTCGACGTGAAGTAGGCGTCGAAGCCTGAGGCAGCGAACACAACACAGAGTTCATTAGGTTCTATCACAGATCAGCTGAAAAGGTTCAAACATCACGTCAACCTGCTGCTGTCGTAATAATAGGTTTCAATAATATGTTTCAATAAT